ACAAAGGGGGTGGCCATGGGTACCCACATGGGCCCAAGCTATGCCTGCCTCTTTGTAGGTTACGTGGAACAATCCCTCTTCCATACCTACACTGGCCCTAAACCCCACCTCTTCCTCCGTTACATTGATGACTGCATCGGCGCCGCCTCGTGCTCCCACGAGGAGCTCGCACAGTTCATCCACTTCACCAACACCTTCCACCCCAACCTTAAGTTCACCTGGACCATCTCTAATACCTCTCTCTCCTTCCTGGACCTCTCTGTCTCCATCTCGGGCAACCACCTAGAAACCGATATCCATTTCAAGCCCACCGTCTCCCACAGCTACCTAGAATACACCTCCTCCCACCCACCTTCCTGCAAAAATGCCATCCCCTATTCCCAACTCCTTCGCCTCCGCCGCATCTGCTTGCAGGATGAGGCATTCCACTCCCGTACATCTCAGATGTCGTCGTTTTTCAAGGACCGCAACTTTCCCTCCTCAGTGGTCGAGAACGTCCTCAACCGTGTCTCCCACATTTCCCGCAACTCATCCCTCACACCCCGTCCCCACAATAACCACCAAAAAAGAATCCCCCTCATCCTCACGTACCACCCCACCAACCTCCGGATCCAACGCATCATCCTCCGACACTTCCGCCATCTACAATCCAACCCCACCACCAAAGACATCTTTCCCTCCCCACCCTTATCTGCGTTCCGGAGGGACCACTCTCTCCGTGACTCCCTTGTCCGTTCCACACTCCCCTCCAGCCCCACCACACCCAGCACTTTTCCCTGCAACCGCAGGAAGTGCTACACCTGCCCCCATACCTCCTCCCTCACCCCCATCCCAGGCCCCAAGAAAACTTTCCACATCAAGCAGATGTTCACCTGCACATCTGCCAATACGGTATACTGCTTCCGCTGTACCCGTTGTGGCCTCCTCTACATCAGGGAAACTAAGCGGAGGCTCGGGGACCGCTTTGCAGAACACCTATGCTCGGTTCGCAATAAACAACTGCACATCCCAGTCGCGAACCATTTCAACTCCCCCTCCCATTCCTCAGACGACATGTCCATCCTGGGCTTCCTGCAGTGCCACAACGATGCCACCCGAAGGTTTCAGGAACAGCAATTCATATTCCGCTTGGGAACCCTGCAGCCCAATGGTATCAATGTGGATTTCACAAGCTTCAAAATCTCCCCTCCCCCTACCGCATCCCAAAACCAGCCCAGCTCGTCCCCGCCTCCCTAACCTGTTCTTCCTCCCACCTATCTCCTCCTCCCACCTCAAGCCGCACCCCCATCTCCTACCTACTAACCTCATCCCGCTCCCTTGACCTGTCTGTCCTCCCTGGACTGACCTATCCCCTCCCTAACTCCCCACCTGCACTCACCTTTACTGGCTCCATCGACCCGTGTTTCCTCTCCACCTACCTTCTCCTCTATCCATCTTCTATCCGCCTCCCCCTCTCTCCCTCTTTATTTCAGAACCCCCTTCCCCTCCCCCATTTCGGAAGAAGGGTCTAGACCCGAAACGTCAGCCTTTCTGCTCCTATGATGCTGCTGGCCTGCTATGTTCATCCAGCTCTGCACCTTGTTGTCTCGGATTCTCCAGCATCTGCAGTTCCTACTTTCTCCATTTCACTGACTACCACTGTGCCGATGTCTCTGCTGATCCTGTCTTGCGAATGGAACAGGACGTATCCAGGGTCAGTGATGATGGTGTCTACATACAGTGCAGATGACAAGCCTTGGAAGGGGTTAAGTTATTCGATCTGTAATCAAACATGTATGTGCTGCATTCAGCCACCAGCCTCTGTTCTACCCTTCCCTGAAAGTCACGGGAGGGGCAAATGCTAACTGAAATCCCACAAAGCACAATGGAGTATTTAAATACTTGGAGATGGAACAACAAATTTAATTCTGAACATTAAATGTGATTACACTAGCTTAATAACAATCAAGCTGAAAACATCATTTTTAGTACAACAAAAAACTGTTTCTCAACTTACTTTAGATGATGTTGGTATTTTCCTCTTCTGTGTTTTAAGTTGTTTTTGCTGTATCTGTTGAGCATTGGTTATTTGATTGTCTGTGGAGATAGGTAGCAGTTGTATCATTTTAACAGCAGTGCTGTCAACAGGAGTCAATTCTCTTAACTTGATCTGAGTGGAATAGGTATTTAATACTGGTTCAGAGGTCTGCTGTTGCCGTTGAGTCATCTGGCTCAAAACAGGTGAAGGCTCAGGCTGGGTCTTGAAGTCTAAAAGATGCCCAAATAACTGCTCTTAAAATTCTTTTAAAAACAGATCAAAGTTTTGCACATTATACATTAAGACATTTATTCTTGTATTCCATTTTGTCTGCCCGGGGCCAAAAGACATATTTGTTATCTACTCATCTCATTTCCAATTCCTATGTTCCTGTAGCTGCTTCATATCAAGTTCTTGCATTTCTACAATATCGTGAGGCATAGTTTACAAAAAACATCTCGATTAAAATGCTCTGATGCCTCTTCAGTTTCTATCTTTCCCCACTCCGAATTTGTACAGCTGTCTAGATAAATTGAACACAGCTAACATTTCTAATTTGCCAAGACTGTTTTTGACTTTCTAAAAGTCAACCTCATTAAAAAGATGTACACAGTCATGAAATAAAATTTTACTTAGAATGCTGGAATCAAAAAACATTTAAAACAGAATTACAGCAAGGAAATACATGTTTCCTGATACAAATAGCAGGAACACACAATTTGCTCATAACTAAATACTGACCAAACTGGCTCAGAACTGTTGACTGTGAAGTTGATTTGTCTTCCCAAGAAGTGTTGTTATTTGTTTTCCTGGTCTGTGCAGAAATCTCTACCAAACCAGACGAATTCAACTGTTCAAGTAATTGGGACCCTGAAGAATTGGGGACTTTTGCAGCTGCAAGTTCCCCAAACCCTGGAGACTATAAGAAAAACAAAACAATTAAGTTTTTTTCCTGAGAAACATTAAATGGTATTATTCTACACATCTACAATACTTGTCCTTACTATGCCTGGCATTGAGAGCTTAGGAATTTTAAAACAAAATATTTGTACATGATATTTGCTTTAAGTTGCTCTTGCATAGCACTGTTACCAATTTAGGAAACTTCTTAACAATTTTAACCATAGATTTACATTGACAAGCACCTCTGCGTATGACATTTAATGGGATTTTCTCCAGCTCAAGTACAAACTGTACACTTAACAGACAGCTAAGTGTTCAACTTGTTACACCAAAATCCCATTAATGCCATGAAACAAAACCCCAAAATCAAGATAAATACAATACAAGACTTGACACCAACACAGATCACTAGTTCAGATGCCGCTCAGTAACAAAACTGCTACGTCTGGATAAAACAAAACCTTTGCTAGATAAAAAGCTACTCCTGTGCAATTTGAAAGTAATTACTTTAAAATGTATAAAAATGCATAATGATCCCAAAATTCAGACACAATTTCTAAAATCTGTTTCCCAACCCAGAAAGGTACTTCAAATGCACTTGGATTTGACTTCAATCACGTTATTTCTTCCTCCGATCCGTCTCACCACTGTTTCCTGGTGGCCCAAAAACTACCTGCTCAAAATGAAAGTACTAACAAATCACAGGAATTTTAACTAACTAAAAAGATGCATTTTGCAAAAGTTCAAAAATCTTTAGACTGAAAATCTACATCAAATACTTATTACTGAAGGTGGATGTGGACCATTTTTAAATAGAAATCTCTTCAAAAACACTGTTCATGTAATTGCCTTGCTGCAAAATGCCTTCAACTACACTGAAATGCATGGCAATAAAATTGACAATCCAATTGTGTCCAAACAATCATTCAAAATTCATTAAAATGCAGTTACTTTAGCTTAGAGAAGGTTTAACTATAAAGTTAACTACGTTATGCAATTATGAACATTAACAGCTCGCTGATCAAATCAGAATCAATGCGCTCTCAATTTTCTTTATTACCTAAAACGTGAGTTCTGCAGTTCAAGTTTAGCAACCAAAGAGACAAATCGAAGAGACAAACCTTCCAGACATGGTCTGAATTATTTGTTTCAGCACTTCTAGATTCTAGGCTACAACAAGTGTTTATCTGCAACAGACTTTTCCCATTAACTCAGGAACAATCAAGCTTTCATTAATCCAACATTCAAACTGCAGTACCAAATGGCAAATTTTAAACAAGTATTTGTTTCTTGGTCAGTTCTTAGTAAAGAAACTAACTAAATCAAGATTTGCTCAGTAAATAAAGTTCATAATTTGAGAAACAAATTTGCTTTCCACGAGTAATTTTTTGTGGAATTAGAAAGCCTTGGAATTAAATTTCCATTTGGGGTTGAAAGGGGATAAAAACAATGCACATAGAACACAGAACGGCACAGCCCAGTACAGGCCCTTTGGCCCATGATGTTGTGTCGAACTTTTACCCTAAACCTAAATTCTATCTAACCTCCACCCCTACCTTACACTATCATCCATATGCCTATCTAATAGCCGCTTAAATGCCCCTAATGAGGCCGACTCCACTACCCTCTCCGGCAATGCATTCCACCCCCCTACCACTCTCTGAGTAAAGAACCTACCTCTGACGTCTCCCCTGTATCTATCTCCACTCACTTTAAAACTATGCCCCCTTCTAATAGCTACCTCCACCCTAGGAAAAAGTCTCTGGCTGTCCACTCTATCTATACCTCTGATCATTTTGTACACCTCTATCAAGTCAAAAGAGAAAAGCCTTAGCTCTCTCAACCTTTCCTCATATGACCTTCCCTCCATTCCAGGCAACATCCTGGTAGATCTCCTCTACACCTTTTCCAACACCTCCACATCTTTCCTGTAATGAGGCAACCAGAACTGGACACAATACTCCAGATGTAGCCGAATCAGGCTTTTGTATAGCTGGAGCATAACTTCACGGCTCTTGAACCCAATCCCTCTATTAATGAAAGCTAACACACCATACGCCTTCTTAACACTCTATCCACCTGGGTGGCAGCTTTCAGGGAACTGTGATCATGAACCCCAAGATCCCTCTGCTCCTCCACACTACCAAGAATCTTTCCGTTAACACCACATTCTGCTTTCAAATTTGTCCTTCCAAAATGAATCACCTCACACTTTTCAGGGTTAAACTCCATCTGCCACTTCTCACCCCAGCTCCACATCCTATGTTACAAAGGGACATTGATACAACAGCCCTCCACACTATCCACAACTCGACCCACCTCCGTATCGTCCACGAACTTGCTAATCCACCCTTCCACTCCTTCATCCAAATCATTTACAAAAATCACAAACAGAAGAGGACCCAGAACTGATCCTTGTGGTACCCCACTCGTAACTGAGCACCATGTTGAAAATTTTCCACCCTTTGTCTTCTAAGGGTCAGCCAATTCTGAATCCAATCTGCCACATTTCCCCCTATCCCATGCCTCCTTACCTTCTGCATGAGCCTACCATGGGGAACCTTATCAAACGCCTTACTTAAATCCACGTATGCCACATCCACTGCTCCACCTTCATCCACGTGTTTGGTCACCTCTTCAAAGAATTCAATAAGGTTTGTGAGGCATGATCTACCCCTCAAATCCATGCTGACTATCACAAATCAAACTGTGCCTTTCCAAGTGACCATAAATCCTATCTGTCAGAGCCCTTTCCAATAATTTGCCCACCACTGATGTAAGAGCATTATTTAAATTGGTGGATAAAATCTTTCAGGAAACAGAGCTGCAATGAAGTCTGTTATGAAATTCCTGTTTTAACAAAAGAGACTTACAGTTCAACTAAGCTTCCACTGGTTAATCATTTACTTCATTATACCTGTCAAATGATCAGATTTGAATGTATACAGGTCAGTTCTTGTATTAAAACTAAAAATTAGAGTGTTCAGTATCAGCTCAGCCACAAGTTTGAAAAAGCACAGCGTGCACATATAATTTCATGGCGGGGGGGGGAAAGAGGGAGCACAGTGGCTCAGTGGTTAGCACCGCAGCCTCACAGCGCCAGGGACCCGGGTTCAATTCCAGCCTCGGGCAACTGTCTATGCGGAGTTTGCACATTCTCCCTGTGTCTGCGTGGGTTTCCTCCGAGTGCTCTGGTTTCCTCCCACAGTCCAAAGATGTGCGGGCTAGGTGGATTGGCCATGCTCAATTGCCCGTAGTGTTCAGGGGTGAGTGGGTTATAGGGGGAATGGGTCTGGGGGGGATGCTCCAAGGGTCGGTGTGGACTTGTTGGGCCGAAGGGCCTGTTTCCACACTGTAGGGATTCTATGACAACCCAAGAGTCCTGCATCTAACTAAATTTTAAAACCAGTTGTTTTAGCCTTCAAGAAACTAACTTTAGCTGAAATCTTTTAAAAAAAAAAATAAAAAAAAAATTAAGAGGATGCTCAGCTTTCTCAAGGTCACAAAAATAACTACAATAAAGTATGAAAAGTTTAAACCAGCATCAGACACCCCGAATGGATTAAGCAACAAATAGAATATTCTAATCTACTTGACCATTCTGATGATTTAACAGATGACGCTTTAGGTTCAACACCTGAATTTTAGATCGAAGTAATGGGCAGACAGAACACCTATCACATTTACCCTGGGCCTGAAGATAGTTGATATCAAAACCAAAACCTTATGATCAGTGCCTCACTCCACAAAACCAACACAACTGGACCAAAGTATATGTAGACAGTCACAAGAAACTGATTTCCAAAAGCTCAGGCCCTGATAAAGTAAATTCAAGAAGTTATACATCAAATTAACTGGTTGCCTGACAATAGATGTTTGGCAGCTTTTTATACCAGCAACTTACAGATTTTACCTATGTAACTCCTAGACTGTACTAGTGAACTGCATTGGTATCTTGGGAACAATTAAATTAATATCAGACAAAAAGCAAAGCTTCAAAAAGGACAGTTCTTTCACGGCTGGAAGCAGCTGACTGAAATTACATAGTCAAGTTTAAACAACTCTGGAAATGCTCAATTAAAAATACCATGGTCATACTTATTTGATCACTTGTTACTGACTACAGAAAATGCATGGATTTTTGCCTTTGCGCAAATGTGGATAGAATTTAAACAATGAGGAAGAGGAGAGGTGACACCAACAAAGCTTTCAGAAACCTCTCAGTAGATTTTCAAGTGCAGCATAAGTATATCGCATTATTCAATCAGCCTTGGGGATTATAGAGATTGCTTGCTTTGTGCAAACAGCTGCAATAAAAACCTAACATCCCACATGATATTCCACCTTCACATTTAGCGTTTAAATCTACCACAAGACCGGTAATGCAGATATCCAATTCACATTACTGTACTTTATAATATTCAATCAAGATTTGGTTCATAATATCCCATTAAAATTGCTGCCTAAATGCTACAATTGATACGTGTATTTAGAAGAAAAAATGGAAACACTAATTACAAAGCCTTTGGCTGGACCTTTCCATGGATATAACCCATGGATTTTAGACTTGGTTCATTTTTATTCTACAAATTCATTACGTAATCGAGCTTGAAATAGGTAATTCAGTCTGCCAAGCACAAACTGCATGGCATCTGGTCTAATAAGTCACATTGTCCGATGAACACCACTACAACATTTTTATACTACAGACTTAAAAATTAGTATTATGCATATAGCAATTTTCTGTTCTAAATTATTTCAAAGAATTTTCAAAACATTACTTAAAAGGTTAAATAATTCAAGATAATGGTGAAGAAATAGAAGAACTTAGCATAGTTGAGGCAGTAGAGTATGGGTACAGTTACTTTTCCACATTAGGATACCCTTCTGGCAGGGAGCAGCAGTAGCCCTTGCTAAATGTAGGAACCATTTCAGAAAAGAGACAAACAGCCTAATTGCATTGCAAAAACGTCAACAGGGTAACTTATGCCTGCACACAGGATGAAAAGGTAGCACCATCAGCAACTCCAATCTTGTCCTGACCCAACATGCACGCAGGTTTATCAGAAAGACACTGAACAGGAAATGGAACATTGGCCAAAGGGGATGAAATTTGGCAAATGGAAATAAAGATCACCAAGCTACCAGACCTATCCAAAACGCAAATGGACAATCACTTCAGTTATTAAACTATACAGAAGTTTGGCCTTTAACGGCTTTATAAACCAGGCAGGAGGTTTTTCTCACCTTTTTCACTTTCTCCAGTTTCACCAGAGAAGGGATCAAATTTATTGTCCTCAATTTACTATCCAATGTCAATGTTCTGCACATCAAAACAAGTTGTAATTTTGAAATTACATTTGTCCAACTGACTCTCAACATTTTGCACTCATTTGCAGCTTATATCATCCAAAAAATAAGAATTCCCACCGGGCAAAACTGACAAAGCAGCTTTGTTTCAGACTTAAATACTCCACTGGTTTTAAACGCAGAATTGCAGCTTAGTAGTCAACTGAATTACTTGCCAGCTCAACCCAAATAATAAGAAATTTAAATCTCGCTTCCAATATATTTAATATACAAGTTACTACCTACATTTATTATTTAAGTCACTTTTTAGTCAAATTCACACTGCAAACTGCAGTCCAAAATTGGTTTCCAAGCCATTTTCACACTGTTTTGCCTGGCCAATGGAAATATGCAGATGAACATCAAGAAGTAGCTCCTGAATCACAAGAAGAATACTGTCGATGCTTTGATTTTGTGAAACTGACTGAATTCAGAACAAAATAGCTCCAATTAAAGTTGCCTTGGTTATGCAATGTAATCTCAAAATATTACAGCACGAGACATGCGTTCAATCTGGTTTAGAAAGCACAAACTCAGAACAAGAGTTTTTAATTTTGATGCTCAAAGACAGACAAAGATGAAAGAAACACCTTCATGAAGTATCTTGCATTTCTTAGTTTTACTTAATTCCTTTACTAAATTGTCATCTGTAGGCCTTAGACATTGCCATGGCACAGAGATGAGAAATAATCAGCCCTTTTTAGCAGCTGAGGGAGATGTTCAAAGAATTTAAGAGCTCAACTTTACACTAAAGTACTTTTTGCTGAGGGTGCAGCACCTGGTATCAAGGATGTGTCCCTTAAGGACAATCTCTCCCCTGGTTCCCAGGCCCACTTTCAGACATTTTGATGGAGCAGCCCACTCCAAGAAGACCCATGCCCAGGACAAAGTCCATCCATCAATGAAAACTCAGCATCACGGAATCAGCAATACTTGAATCCCATCAGCTGCTTAGTCATACCAGAAGAGAAAAACACACGAGAAACAATTTTGCAATAGCCACAAGACCACAAGCTTTATCATAAAGATAAAGAAAAACTCACTACCTAGAATGAAGGGTGATACCCTGATACTGAAAAGCAAAGCAGCATTCCAAAAAAAAAAGACAATTTGCAGATTCCACAAAAAGGATCATGCTTTAAAGTCTGATTACACTAACACAGAAGGTCAAACCCAAGTGCTGTAGAAGACCTGTTCTGAAGGAGAAAACTGAGAATGTACATCTGAAAAGTCTATCAAACGTCATTTTAGAAGCTCTTCTAATTGACAAAAAACATCAAAATGTAGAGTAATTGCATTTTCTTTTGGTTTACCAGGTTCTGATTGTAGGAATTCACAGCATTGGAGTTGCCTTCCACCGATGAAATTGGATCATCATGTTGGGAATTAGTGAACACCAGTGACTGAGTGAGGTTTGCCTGTTGGGGTGCTTCACACGAGTTGGTTTCTGTTACAGTACCAGTTGAGGGTTTTTGAAGCAATGTTGCTAGATCAGTGCTTAAAAAAAGACAAGTTTATTTTCAGACCTTTTAACAGGTTCTGCAAGGACTGTAAAATTGATTCTGGAGGCACTCATAACACGTTAGACTAGATTTCCTTTGTAAAAAATAGCACAACCTGGCTTACAGCCTAAAAATAAAGTCAGATCTTATGAAATGGGGAAGAAACATCCCCAAAAAAACTGAAAACGGCTGCAGACCAATATGAAGGCCTCATGTAATCTGTATTCAAGCACATGTTTATTAGCCTAGTATCTGCAAATTAGATGTGGAGGGAGAGAAAGGGCAGTGGAATTGGTTGATTCAGTTGTGGAAACAAGATTAGGCACCAGGCATGAGCTGGTGAGTAATGAATGTTTGCAGACACAAGTTCAGACTATCAAATCACAGCCATCAAGTAAAATAAATAACCCCAAATATCTATAAAGCCTGGATAAGGAGAATTGAAGTTGCCAGATGGTATCTGTTGCATCCTAATGATTAATGTGATACAAGTGTGGAGAAGTAAGTCTACCTTGTTGGCTGTAGATGGTAAATAAGATTCAGGGGTGTTGACTGTTACAGTTATCCTGCTCCAAAGCAAGCAATCATTGGAACAGAACTGTTCTTACAAGTTTGTTGTATTTCAAGTTGGCTGTTCTGTTAATTGTCTGTTCTTGCATAAAGAAAGTACTTAGTAAATTTCAATTTAAAGCAAATTTACTTAGTTACACAGTGCTGTATTCCTCTTTTGCGGAATAATTCTAAGCAATAAACTAGAGAGCAACTCTTCCATAAATAATTAATATTTCGAGCCATGTCAAGTGAGCAACAAGAGCCAAATTTTAGCAATAGGTTTTTACAGCTTCTAGCCATTTACTTTAATAGCCAAGCACTTGTAAATTATTTCCAAACATCACATCTGCTAAAATTGAGGTTTTCTGGGAGGTATGAATCTTGGCATTTTCCACAAACCATAAACTTTACGGCAACTTCAAAAAACATGGCATATCATTTGAACAGAGAAGATTTGAATATGTTCAAATTTGTCCTGAAATATTTTCAGACTTGACTTAGAAATCCAGACTCATTGAAGAAATTCTGCATGAACTGCAGTTTGGGTTTATTTTTTGGTTCAGAAACCAGATCAACTAAAAAACAACAGAAGAACATAGCTGACAGAAATATTTGTTGCAAAATAATTAAAGAAACTGGCATTACAACATTGCAACATTGCACTGCCACATGAAGTACAGACTTGCTCAGGAGTTTGCTTGGCAGCCTCAAGAATTGGATTTAGTCAGTAGTGTACAGTTGTAACAGGCACTCAGCTTTCTACTGTAACAATTTCAAATGGCAGCAATTTCAAACGCTGGTTTAAAATATATGAATGCAATTATCTTCTAATTTGATATTCTACATTGCATGCATCAACTAGTTAAATCATGTTAAAGACAAATGTTTCATACCTTGAACCTGGAGGGACTTGGTTCTCCATTCTTACAAGAGTGGAAGCTGTAAAGACCTTTGTTTCTGTCAGCTGCTTAAAAAATGCATAAGAACATTAATGTTTATGCAGGTCTCCATTTTCTCAGCAACAAATACACGAATAGACAAAAACAAGAGATGCTAAAACTATTCAGTGGATCAGGCAGAATCTGTGGATAGTAGTAGTTAATATTTCAGGTCAAGATGACCTTTCCTCACGACAGAAGAAACAGACATTTACCTGCAGTGCTAACTGTTTCTCTCAAAAGATGCTGCCAGATAGCACATTCAGTAGGTTTTGAAAATTTTTAGTTCCAAATTCCAACATCCACAGAATTGTGCTTTGTCCAACATAGCTGTAACAGGTACTTTAAATACACTTAAAATCAGGAAAGGAGTTGCTCAATGACCAGCTCAGACATAATAGAATGGAAAGGTCTCAAAGTTGCAATTCTGCTTGCACCCCATTAGTGATTTCAATCAAAGAATTTGGGGAAAAAAAAAGTGCCATTAATTGCTTCAGAAAGGGGAGCAAAGAAACACAAGAATGCGTAGGTCATTCAACCCATCGAGTTTGCGCCACCATTAAAAAAGACCACGGCTCTGATCATAATCTCAAATCTACACTGCTACCATCTAGCTCCGCCTTAAATATTCAGGGACTCAACTAAACTCAGGTGTTTGAAAATCAAAAGTTTGAACAAATTAAATCAAAACTGTAGGAACACACATAAAAATAGTACATCAGGGATAGAGTTCCAAAGACTCGTCACCCCAAAATCCCAATTCTGTTTTAAGTGGTCAATTCCCGATTTTTAAAAAAAGTGGCCCCTAATTTTGATACATCCAGAGGAGGAAACATCCTCTCCACATCTACTGTCAAGACCCCTTAGGATTTTCTATGTTTCAATCAAGTTGCCTCTTACTCCAAACTTAGCAGATACAAGCCAAGCCTGTCCAGCCTTTCCTCAAGACAACCCACCTATTCTAGGAATTAGTCTAGGAAAACTATGAACTGTAACATTTACTTCATTCCTTAAATAACCAAGGCAATACTTGATACTTATCTGCACTTTTCAAAAGCTTCCTTGTGATCTCTTCACAATTTCCTCTCCTCTCTTTGTAACGTCACCAAATATGGCAACTATATCTTACAGTCATAGAGTAATACAGCATGGAAACAGGCCCTCCAGCCCAAACTGGTCCATATTGACCATGGTGCCCACATTTGGTCCATATGCCTCTAAATCCTTCCTATCCATGTACCTATCCAAATGATTCATAAATGTTGCTATTGTACCCACCTCAACCACTTGCTCTGGCAGCCCATTCCATTTACATATGACTGTCTGCATGAACAAATTGTCCCTCGGGTGCTTTTTAAATCTTTCCCCACTTAGCTTAAACCTATGCTCTCCAGTTTTCAATTTCCCATCCTTGGGAAAAACACTATATGCATTCATCCTATCTGTGCCCCTCATGATTTTATCTTTCTCAATAAAGTTACCCCTCATTGTCCTATGAACCAAGGAATAAAGTCCTATCCTGGCCTACAACTCAGGCATACTAGTCCGGTCAACATTCTCATAAATCTTCTTTGCACACTTGCCAAAGTTTAACTATATTTTTGCTTTAACAGGGTGACCAAAACTGAACACAATCCTCCAAGTGCGGCCTCACCAACAACTTCCACAACAGTAACATAACATCCCAACTCTTATACTCAATGCCTCGACCAATGAAGACCAGCATGCTAAATGCCTTCTTCACCACACTGTCCACTCCTAGGTCCCCTGTACCACATCACTCCTCAGGGCCTTACCATTTACTGTAAAAGTCCTACCTTGGTTTGACTTTCCAAAGTGCAACACCTCACACTTATCTGTATTAGAACATAGAACAGTACTGCCCCTTCAGCCCACGACGTTGTGCCAACCTACTATCCTACTCCAAGATCAAACTAACCTGCATACCTTCATTTTACTATCATCCATGTGCCTATCCAAGAGTCGCTTAGAATGTCCCTAATAAACCTAACTCTACTACCACAGCTGGCAGTGCATTCCACGCACCCACCATTACCTGTCTACAGAACCCACCTCTGACATGTCCCCTATATACCTTCCTCCAATCACCTTAAAATTATGTTCCCTCATGATAGCCATTTCCGCCCTGGGAAAAAGTCTCTGACTATCCACTCTATCTATGCCTCTCATCATCCTGTACACCTCTATCAAGTCACCTCTCATCCTTCTTTGCTCCAATGACAAAAGCCCTGGCTCCCTCAAACTTTCCTCCTAAGACCTGCCCTCCTGTCCAGGCAGCATCCTGGTAAATCTCCTCTGCACCCTCTCTAAAGCTTCCACATCCTGAGGC